AATTAAAACGAGGGGATTAATAGGAATAGCATCATACTGCAATATTTAGCATACCTATAACAATATAATAAATAAACAATCGGAAATGGGGACATCGCAACTACCACACATAAATAATGTGTCACTGTGTCAGCATTATAAAAACAAATAGATCACCATAATTGTCAATTCGAAACACTACTTACCTATAGCCATTCTAAAAATATACAGGACACCTATCTTTTGGACCTCAGTGAGACTAGTAAACTGTACAAGGATTTCAGTAGAATACAGTCTTTAGCGTAGACCATGGAGTGGTGTTCCTGTTACGGAAATATATTTTGAAAATTTCAACATGTGTGATAAATATTGGAATAAACATCTGGTGAAAATTTCAAATGTCTTTGGTCATTCGTTTATTATTATTATAACGAAATATCAAATATCGAGAGTTCGTTAGTTTACTAGTGAATATCAATATATGGTAAACATTTTTGATTAGAACGTTCGTAAAAATAATATAATAAAAATAAATATAAATACTCAGGTAATTTTTTTTTAGTRAATGTAGAAAAACTCATGGAAAATCTTTCATTCAATTTTCAAATATTAGTCATGAAAAGAAAATATTTTATGAAATTCTAACTGAAGATTAGTTTGTACATTTTTGCGATTTTAACTATATAATTAGGTAAAATTTCTAAAATCAGATAATATTTATATAATTCTTACAAAAACTATTGTGGATTTTATGCTCAACTTTTTTTTTCATTASATTATTGACAACTTATGTTGAATTTTTTATTACATTTTCAAGATTTTGAAGGAGCAAAAAATTATTTAGACTAAAAATTATAAAAAATGTAAACTTTCTCATGATTATAAATATCTCATCATCCGAAAATTTCATAGCACACGAAAAATATTCGTATTAACATTTATAGGGAAAATTTTAAGTACAAAGAATATTAGTTTTTGAGTTACAATAAAAAAAAAATCGATTTCGTTGGTTTGACATAAAAATTTACATTTTATTACTGATATTTTGTTTTTTACGAAGCATTCCATAACCACTGAAAATGTTCAATTGTTAATTATCTCTTTATTAATGAACCAAGAAAATTTACTTTGGTATCAGAACAAATGCTGAAAACAAAAATCGGAAAATTTTTTCTGCGAGGGCGTTAATTGTCATGCAAAATTAATATTTAATAAACAACATTGCTTGACTTGAAAACRRTAAAGGCTTGATTAAGTGTAGCTACTGAAAAAAAAATCAATATAATCGTTTTTGATAACAGTAAAATATATGTACCTAATACTCTAGTGATAAAAAAACTTAAATCCCTGTAGGAATTCCCTACCCACCAATATTTTTTTGAATTACAAGAAAAAATAACTGAAAATTTTAGTTTTTGTCAAATTTAAAATTTTTATCAAATCTTGATCTTGAAATACCTATAAAATATCTGTGCACAAATTATGAGAGATATTGTATTAAATTTGTAAAGATAATGTAATAGGCAGTACCGGATCTAGGGGGGGGGACGAACCGGGGCCCATGTCCCGGGCGCTTATCATAGAGGGGCGCAAATTTCAAATTTTAAACTCATCATTTTTATGATTTGGTGACTTTTAGGGGCGCTAATATTATGTTGTGCCCCGGGTTGCATAAKTTGTAGATCCAGTACCTACTGGTAATAGGTATTATCATTGATAAATCTAATGAATTGGTGTTTATTAAAAATAAATATGAATATAATCTATTAATAGTATAATATAATATTATATAATATCTAATTATATTAATAATAATATTAATCATATTTACACTAGAATTTATCCTTTTAAGTTCGAAACACTATTGTTCTATACCAATTCTAGTGCATCAAATTCTCTTTATCTGCAAGAAAATCTGTCTATTATAAACGCTAGTAAACAAMATATCAACACAGTATATTTGCCTGGTTACCTATAAACAAATCTCCGGGTTTTGGCAGTCGGCTACCATGGCGGTGGAATATACTCGCGAATTTTATTTTAAATAACCTATTTTCGGCAGGGACAATTAATAATATTGACAGCACAACTCTCGTCTTATAGCAGTAYTTCGGACAGCCCACATGTACCATAGAATATTCTATGCAGGTACTTGAGGTGTTGGGCGTCTGCATCAGCATAATACAAGTATGTAATAGAATATAGGTACCAACACCTATGACACAGCTTCATTGTTTGTTCCTTTCAATAAAACACATAGCTAATCAGAAATCATAATATATGTGTAGAATATAATATATAGGTACATATTATTATAAAAGATTATAAATGACCTAAATCTGTGTCGAGTTTATAATTAACAAAACGATTATATCGAGGAACTTGTAGTTAATTATTAGACTCCATAGGGTCACTTGCGCGTCCTCATTCTGTACATAAAAGCAACGCTGACTTATTTTTTGTATTGAATATAAAATAATATTTATTAGATACCACATATTTAAAAAAAAAAATAATAATATTACATGTCAAACATTTTTCAGATACAAAATAAGAAAAGAGATTTAGGTATAAAAGCCAGTGATTAATAAATAATTATAAGGTAGGTATTGACATTGATAATGGAATAAATAATAATATATATATTATATTATTTATATACTATTCTGTATTCTGTAATCAATGGTATTAATATTATTAAAAGGACGCTACACAAAACTTGTTATCTCCATCTTACAAGTGCGTAATAYACCAAATTTACGCTCAGTAGAATAGATCACGTTTAGCTTCGTTGAATTGAAAGCTAGAATAAACCAACCTATTAAAAAACCTAATGATAAAAATATTATCTTTGTTTTTTTTACGATAATTCAGTTTTTAAGTGAGTTATGGGCATATTTTTTAATTTATAAGTTTTATATAAGCAAATCTTGCTAAAAAATTTAATTAGGTACTATAAAACTCACGTACAAATACAATATTATTATCATCAAGTTTAATAATACCTAGGCAGATTTACTATAATTTTTAAATTGATTAATCTAAACGCTATCAGCCGAGAATATGTTGTGCACTTATAAGACAGAGACAATACATGTCAGTGTAGCGTCCTCTTTAAGATTAGCAAGATCCACATGTAAGGCGCTGCACRTGATCTGTTTTGTACTTAGACGGTCGTATATACCCCAAATGCTGCAATTCATTTACAGCTCGCACAAATCGAGATCTAATACAAAAACTACTTAAGGAAAATAAAAGTTTTCTAATGTGTTATTAAATATTCATTGGCTTACTAATAAAAACTATTAATTTCAAATACAATACATATTAAAAAATAATTTTGTCAAAGTGAAAATATTCAACTACCTATCTAGGAAGCAGGTTTTAATATATTTAATAACTAAATATTATGATTAAAATAAAAATTCTGGTATATCTATAATCATATTTACCTATTTTGCATGCAGCATAAATTATTAATTTTTTAATAAATAAAAAAATAGATATATTATAAACCATAATTTAGGTACAAGTTACACAACACTGTGTGTTTGGTCTCAAGAGTGATATGCTCAGTTTGTTGCCAAAAGTYAGTAGTTCAGCATATGAAAAACTAGAGACCTCATTGTATGTAACTATATATGTATAGAATTAAAGATACATAATACGAGTCTATGATGAAAATATACATTGTATAACTTCTCATAAGCCGTAATCAAAGACAAACACTAGGCATCAAAAGAAAATGCTCGGTTAAGTAACTTGTAAATCTTAAATCATACTATAAACAAAAGTTGAACATAACATAACATGAAATAATAATAAATATTAATAACAAATTTAAAATATTCGCCAKGAAAGAAATTAATAATACAAGACAGCTGAATTCCTTTAAATAAAATAAAATCATGCATGCTTACAATGTGGTGATTAAGACTCAAAACCACATGCAGATAGCAATAATACAAATGAGGTGTCTGCAACCCACAGGTTACAATATGATACCTTATAGTAATTTTATATAGCACTCAAGTAAAATTTATAATTTTTATAAAAATAGACCTTATGTATAAAAACTTCAAACTAAGATAGTATGGACWGGAAACGGCAGACTAAAACAAAACTAGAGCTTAAATAAAGTACATTTTATGATTATACATTTTTGTTTAAGATAAGATTTTAGGAAGTACATTACAATTTCAAACAGCAAACATGAAAATGTAGTCACATATTGGACCGGTTTCTAAATAATATAATATCTTAAATTTTAAAAATGGTAAGAATATCAAATATATGTAATTTATGTAAAATAGTATTGACTACAAATAAACTTGAGTAATTTATAAGCGCTTAACTATAAAACATATTGYCATGTTAAGAGGATGTCAGCGCACTATTTGTTTTCTCTCTCTGACCCACGCGTAACATAGACAATTTTTTTCTATGTCTTTAAGTAATTTTAGAGTAAAACCTTCCATTACAAAAAAGATAAAGAATAATGTTTTTGAGGGAATGACATATCGATTTTATATTTTATTGATATTTGACTTTGTATTSRACYTTCAAAATAMAYAAAAAAATACTGTACATTTAAATAATGTTTAAATTATTTAGAGACAATATTTAGACAAATYGATATRTCATTCCCTCAAAAATATTATTTTCTATCTTTTTTGTAATCGGAGGTTTTACTCTAAAATTACTTCAAGATATAGAAAAAAATGATTCTGCGTATATGCGTTTTGTCTATGTTACGAGTGAGCCAGAAAGAGAAAACAAATAGTGCRCTGACATCCTCTTAAAAATCACTACGAATGATCAAAAATATATTAGATTAAAGGATACTGTAATTCTGGATCTATATCGTCATTATTATCATCGTCATTTTGATCGCAACCAACAATTGAAATAAATTTCTAAAAAAAAAAAACTTTTTAAAAATATTGATTGGAAAGGCAAATAATACATGTAATCCACAACCAATACACTGAAACCTAGATAGTAGTTATATAAATAGAATTTTAATAGATTACTAAATTACTCAATTATTAAGAGTTAATGAAGTA